TCGCTTATACACAATTACTAAAATCTAATTTAATATTGAACAGTCGGTTATACCTTACTACTATTTACAAGTTTACCATACAGTTGTCGCTAATACACAATTACTAGAATCAAATTTGATATTGAAATGTCGGTTATACCCTACTACCATTTACTATTTTAATACAACTCTGTCGTTTATACCGTATCACTTTACAGTGATCATTTATTAATTGGTGCTTACGCCAATTTGTGTCACTTTGTTATAATGAAGTAGCTGTTTAGCAAGTCGCTTATTCCAAAATCAGTCGATTGCGTGCAGTGACGGCGAGAGCATGCGCGCTTCAAGAAGTTGTTCAAGAAAAAAAAGTCCAACCAAACCCTTGTGCGGGTAAGAAATGTGGAAACAACTGCGGAGATATAACGGAAGAAAGAAGGATAAGCATTTTCAAGCATTTTTGGAGCCTGTCAGAACAGAGAAGAAAGGATTGGATCATTAGCTTAACCCAGAAAACTAATATCAAAAGAAAGAGAAATAAGGATTCAGAAAAACGCACCATAACATACAAATACAATATTACGGATGGTGAAGCTCATCGACAAATATGTCTGCAATTTTTGTGCAAAACGATCGATGTGTCACACAAATATATTTATTATACGGTTTCAACTGCCGATGAGTTTGGTAGTGCCAAACAATCTGAAAGGGGTAAAAGTGTACCTCCCAACAAAACCAGCAATGATGAAATTACAGCGGTTGAAAACTATATAAAATGTTTGCCGGCAGTTCCTTCTCATTATTGTAGGAAGGATAGTATTCGAACATACATTCCATCAGAATACAAAAACTTAGCCAATTTATATAGAAAGTACAAAGAATATCGTAGCTTTCAAGGACTGACGTATGTTTCGGAGAGCATTTTCCGAAAAGTTTTCAATGAAAACTTTAATATAGCATTTCATATCCCGAAAAAAGACAAATGCCTGAAATGTTGTCAGTACGAAAATAAAACTAATCCTACACCAGAACAACAACGAGCTCACGAAGAACACCTATAAGCAGACCACACATACAATCGCTACAAGATGCACGAAACTATTCATTTAAAAGACTCAGCATCCATTTGCATAAGTTTTGACTTACAAAAAGTCTTGAACACACCATATGGTGATAGCATGTTATTATTTTATACACGCAAGCTGGCCGTTTACAATGCAGTTATTTACGAAAATGGTACGCGCAATGTTAATTGCTATTATTGGGACGAAAGTCAGGGTAACCGCGGTGCTAATGAGATGGCTACAATATTAAGCAAATACATAACGAATCTTGATGAACGCGGAAATATAAGACGACTTCTTCTTTATTGTGACTCCTGTCCCGGTCAAAATCGGAACAAGATAGTTCTTGTAATGCTGAACGAGACTCTGCAACGATGCAGAACTCTTGAATCTATTCAAATAAATTTCTTACTTACCGGCCATACCTACATGACAGTCGATTCGGTACATGCGACTATTGAAAATCAGGTTAAAAATACCACTATCTGGGCTCCTTCCCAGTGGTATACGGTATTCCAAACAGCAAGACAAAATCCAAAGCCCTTTCATATTGAGCAGTTAACTCACAAAGATTTTAAGAGATGGGACCTACTCGCAAATAAGTATTTTGTGGGAAATCTTGTGGGTAAAATAAGTAGAATACGAGTCGCAACTTTTAAAAAGAATCGTATATCAGCAACGGTTAAATGCTCTATGAATCCGGAAGCACCCATGTCCTGTATTGAAATCGCCTCCAAAACAAAGTTTCTTGACTTACCGGACTGCTATCTTACACCCCTACCAATTACTGAAAATAAACACAAAGATTTATTAAAGCTTTGCTCAGACCAAGTTATACCCCAACAATTTCAGGCAGAGTACTTAGCTTTAACTTTCAACAAAAAGGTGAAAGATACTTTACCCGATACTGACATCGAAGATAATGTTGACCAGTAGTTAACTTATCTGTAACACTATTTTGTGATGACTGTGCCTTAATTTTCTTCAGGTTATTGCGTACCAAAGACCTACTTTAATTAATCTTCAGGAGATCCCTTATAAAGACTGATTAAGTAAATAATTGATTTTAATGTTGATCTCAATTAGCTGATAAGTTAGTCATTGTAAACAACAGACCTGTTGTTATGAGGTCGATTTGTTTGAAAAACACTAAGTATTAATAGTTCCTTTAACCTTCCTACTCTTTATAATTATGTTTACCAAAGAAACTTTCATAATAGTAGCTATATAAGTACATGGTGAATGACTGAACAGTCACTACGCATGACTATGCACGGTGCTTAGTTGTAAGTAAAAATAAATATTTCAAGATAATTTTATTATTGTTGCCTTGAAGGCTGTTATTATTTTGTCACAGATTATGAGTAGGTAGTGGTATGTTGTACTAAGTTTTAGAAATTCTTTATTTTTGCAAGTACATTATATTATTGCATTAAGTTACTTCTTTTATTTGTTACTATGTAGATACTAAGTACATCGTAAAAACAACTTTTTCTTTTATAATTGTTAATAAATAGTGAAAAAACGTATTTTTGTTTTCATTAAATCACAACATGAAGTATTAGGTCAGAGCATACTTATTATATAATGTAATAATAATAAATGATTTATTTTCTCACCACAATATTACAGAATTATTTGTGTATACTGTGGGAGACTGGTGCCTAAGCCAGGTTTTACGCCTGTATTTCAGGCCACCAGGTCTCCGCCCTATGGTTGTAATTACAATCTTTTTACCATGAACATGTACCATATTTGTAATTTACATAATGTACCTTTTTTTACTTAACTTAATATATAGAGCATTATTAATCTAGTATGAACGATGATGATGATGGGTATAAGCAGTTACTTAAGTCTTACTTTAAAGGAGAATCATGTCGTTTGTTAATCTATTATTTTTAAGACGTGACGTTTAATCCACATTACTATTTGCCCATATAATTCCGTATGTTGGATGTTCTCGTTTTCCTCTTGGTATAGAAATCTTGATGTGTGGAAGTACCACGTTACCTTTTTTCAACCCACTTACAGTGTCGCTAATGTCTGACATCCTCACTATGTTTTTGCTATGCACTCTTTCTTGTGCTCCATTACCTTTTGGCATAATGATGTGAATCGTCACATATCCTACTTTACCCATTTAAGTTATTCTACAGCCATGTGACTTATGCCCTATTACCTCTTGGTATACGGATATCAAATGTAGCTAAGTCTTCTAAACTCTTCGTTTCTTTCTGTGTAGATGTAACTTATGCCAAATTACCTCATATTTAAAATAGGACCAATAGATCTAAGCGACATAAAATCAGATAAAACAACGTCGAATCAAATAAATGAAAAAGTCAATTAATGCTTTTATTTTTGTTGATTTTAGAGCTGTTTATATTTTTACGTTATGATAATAAATAAAAAAGTTATGTCCATTTTTCTGCAATTTCAAACTTTAAACTGCTCTCCTGAACAATTTGGTTTTTGTTGCTTATACCCTATTACCTTTTAACCGTCGATATTGATTTTAAAATGCCAAACTTCATAGAAAAGTAGTCTCTAAACATAAGTATTTATGGGTTAAAGTGCTGTGGGTGGGTGCGGTCACATTTGACCTCTTGAATTTTGACAGAAAATCAAAGCAGTTAAATTTAGATGCTTGCTGTTTGAGAGGTTAAGTTAGTGCACATGTGCTTTAAGATGTAGAAATTACCTCACTCATATTGACTGAGAAATCAGAAGGGGGAATAAATTGCACATCTGCTTGCTTCCACATATATGAAATATAATCCTGTGCTTTACTGATGAATAGTCTCCGTTGTGACCAAATTAATTCAAAGGGAGACCATATATACTGGTGGCGTGGCTTTCAGAGTGGTTAGCTTAAGTGTTTTCACATGTTCCTCATATAGGATGTTTTCAATGCCATAGGAACTTTTGAATATCTGCCTTTAACCACCTGACGCAATGTTTTAAGTGTATTTTACGTATCATTTCTGGTATTATTATTATTTGCTATAGTTGCTAGGTGGGTTGGCAACTGCAGTTTTTTTATTATTCTGTCCTGTTATGTGCAAAATGCTGCTTCCCATATGTATTTGAAACCAAGTGATAGGGCATAATAGTGAAAGATGTGGACTGCAAACTCCATAAAGTAGTAAGTTCAAATCTGCCATTTGACTATTGTTGTAAATTACTCCTAGTGCAAGCATTAGCAGTTTACTTGCAGCAAATAAGAGAAGTTATTGTAATGTTAATAGTAAGGTATTTTAAAATTTTTAACGTAGGCTTATTGGATTGAATTTTGAAAGCCCAAACTTCTAAATACCTCTGTCAGGGTCCCAAGAGTGTGAATCTACTGCTTTTAAAATGATATCTGTTAAATTAAGGGGACTCCCATGTATTTGACACTCACAATGTTTTTAATCAGTTAGAGAATTGTATCCATGTAGCTTGCAGAACTGACATCAGAAGGGAAAACATTATTCTTGAGCGGTAGCCTCATTCTGGTAAGCAAACTTGTGCCCCCCACTAGATAGTGGCAATCTGGTAAGACAGGCAGTCAATGGATTTAGGTGGCTTAGGAGTGTGTTGTTGCAGTGATGATGATTCACTATGTGGTAGGACTTGTTGCTGCCTGGAAGTCTGCCTGCGCAGTGATCATCCTCTTACCTGTTTCTGCCACAAGCAGTAATATGAGTCCCAGCCTGAAGGACATTGAGAGCCAGTCATTTCAATATTATGGAAAATGATATTGATGAAGAGAATTGTGGTAGCTAATAGATATTATTACTAACTTGTATATTTAAGTAGTTTCCCATATTTATGACGAACTTTCATATTTTCAGAGGAATGAGGATGAAGAGCCCATAATTGTCTGTTTCACCTGTCATGCAAGACTCCTTCGTTGCAGGAGATTGCAACAACAGGTTATTGAGTCAAATGCAGTTCTGGAGCAGTTGCTTGCAGGAGGCTCCATGGTATTATTTATTCCATCCATTAAAATATATAAAAGTCCCTCATATAATGTTTCATATGCTAAATTTGCCACGCTTGGCAGGTCGGCAACCACAGTTTATATTAGTCCGAGTTGTTATCAGGAAGATGCTGCTGCCCAACTGCTGTTTCTGTTTACATCTGTTGCCTCTTACGACCCGTCCCGTGGGTAGATATATAGGGCAGCGGATATTCTTACACCGCTACTACACATGGTCCACAGTATTATACTTCTTATTAATAAAAGTTCACTACTTGATGGTTCATTCCCATTATAATGAAGTATTTGCCTTAATCATGACTTGGCAGGCACCTTGATGATCACTACCTGTCTTGCGCCTTCTATGCTCTTTCCCTTTGCCATACGAGAGAATGTTTTTTTACTTCAAAGTTAATTCTTAAAGCAATGTTCTACATTTGACGAATTACAGTGAGTTAAGCACTTATTTTTCATAAATAATTTATGTTATATATTACTCTTTGTATATAAATGAAATATTATCTATAGGTAACATCACGCAGTGAACAAATATAAATCTTTGTTAGTTTACAGCATTCATGAGTCTGAAAAGAATGATTGTTGAGACTCGATAGTCGGGATGGATATTATTTAACTTTATTCTGAATCCCCACTTTTTTTCCGGTTTTCATTATTATTTAAACTTGTCAGGAAGTTGCTGCTACCCATCTCATGTTTCAGTTTCCTCCTGTCCCTTCTTACAACATCTGCGGGATGGTATGTGGTAGTGTGGATTCTCCTACGCCACCACTACACTGGAGTTTTCTCTTATTTAAAAAAATAATTTGGTTTCAGTCTATACCAAAACCGTATGAGGCTAGAGATAAGATTCAATTCACACCAGTTTATCATATAGATATCTGGCCAGTAGAGTGTGATATAGAAAATTATTGTAAGGATAACATTTTCGACCTTGAATGTGTTAAAGTTGAGGAAGAGAATTTCGAATATGAGAATTCCAAATTTGAAGTAAATGGGAATCATGACAAGGGTAAGATATACCCTTTTTTTGATATTATTAAAATAAGGTACAATTTATCTTATGACAAATTTTATATGTGGTAGAGACATGCTGCAGTTATATTAGATGTATAGTTGTAGCACGAATGGGTCGGTTCGAATGGGGAAGGAACACGCTCTCACAGAATACCAGCACGAAATAGTATCTTAATGCTGCTGTATTTCGTATGGTGAGTGTAGAGAACCGGAGACCCATTTTACTGGAAACGAGGCATTCCATCTTTGTCCTCAAGGGTGACAATGCATCTGCATTTTGATTCGTAATCGAGGATAGATGTAGATGTCTATGGGCCACAGCAACCACTTAACATCAGGTGGACTGTGTGCTCGTTTGTCACCCTATCCTATAAAAAAGTGGTTACAGTAGCCCATGAACACAAAATAAAAATGACAAAATGCATGTAAAATGCACTCATGGAGAAAAAAAAACCAAATAACTATTTGAAAGATAAGCATGACATAGACATCATAATAAGCTTTGTTAAACATTTTCTTTTACTTATGTATAAATATATTTATAAATGTTTTGACCCTGTTTACAACTGGTAAGCTACCACCTATCTTTGCCAATTTCTTAATCTTGACGGACTACTTTCTCTTACCTATTTCTGTTGTCAAATACAGCACATGCATATATAGAGTCAGTATAATCACAGGCTGTGGGGTATTGCATCTTAGTTGTCAGAGGTGACAGCGCATTGTAGTCTTTTATGTTTGAAGTCAGCTGCAGGCAGTCCGTGGACTGCAGTACCCACTTACCATCAGGTGATTCGGCTACATGCCATAAGGTGGACTGTTAGTTTGTTTGTCACTTCATACTGAAAAACATTTGGAGAAAAGGTGCTCAAGGTATCCTTGTACTGGCAAGCACTCATCTACTAAAAACAAATTGTAGCAGAACATTTACTAAATGTGGTGAATGAATCATCATCATTACAGCTCTTCACAAGTCCACTGCTGAACATAGGCCTCCCCCAAGGAACACCACAAAGCATGGTAATGAGCCACCTGCAACCATTGACTTCCACCATGTCTTACTAGGTTGTCACTCCATCTACTGGGGGACCGCCCTACATTTCGTCTACCGGCACGAGACTGCCACAATTACTTCACGTTAGGAGAACTATTCTTCTCCATCGGTTGTCAGTTCTTCGGCCCATTGCCACTTCATGTTAATACACTTATCTTATAAAACATGCAGTGTGCTAATGAAAGAGGGTGGCTCGAGCCCATAAGCTGTGTGATGGACTGTAATGTCTAGTCGTTTGGAAAAAATATCAGTTTTTATTTTATATATTGATGATCATTCTAGATACTGCTGAAAAACAAGAAGACTTGGAGATTGATGCTTTTGAAGATCGACATAAGGATTCAGAGAACGACTTTCCACTAATTTCATTAGGTGCAAAGAATAAAACAGATGACTTTAACATAGGTAAAAGAATTTATTTTGAAAAACCCGTTTTTAAAAATAAAATAAAAAAAGAAACTACAAAAAAACACTACATTAGAAATTTCTCTTGCATCATGTAGTTGGAGATGTACTGTACATACAAAATTTTGTTCTTTTACTACACATAAACAAACCAAATGATTGTTTGTGACCCAAATGAACCAAAATGATTATTTGTAGGCCATACAATCATGTTGTTTTAAGCAAGAACTGAATTCGCCGGTGGTGACCCAAGGTGTTATTAAGATAAAACAGGAAACTGATTTGTTGATAGGGCTATTAATATGTCTGAGAAAGTTGTTGTAAGTACATCTGCTAATCATGAGATCCTGGGCAAGGCGAAAAACGAAATCACACAATAAAATAGAATTAATCTTTGTAGCAACAAGAGTTAAAGACCATGAGAGGATGTAGATTTTCTCGATTTTTTAAATGCCTGTAATTTTTAAAATACATAGCATAGATTTTTTTTAATTTTTTTGTTAATTATTATGACTCAACCTATCACCCGACTCCTACTTGAAGTCGATTTCTGGGTCAACCAATATATATATACACATAGAAAATTAACAATTTTATGGATGCTGGTGGAGAATGAACCTGGGTTGCTAGCGTTATGTGAAATTTTATGGCAAACTACTGGCCTCTGAGCTACCAGGGCTTGTTTTGAGTCTTTGTATGGCCTACAAATAATTCCTCTCTCTTAATCGTCCCGTAAACTTGGCATAGGATTGACGATCGCAGAACACTCTGGCAATGTTGCCTGTCGCCGGTCTGGATATTTTACATCTGAAGTAAACGAGGTGGTTATACCGTTATCTGTCGAGAAACCAAACCCTAAGTCGCCTCTTACGTAACCCACGGGATAAAATGTGATGATGAATTCTCTTATGCTGGACTTACACGCTAACTTCGACTGTACTGTGTGTGTAACACTAGTTCTGTGTGAAATTCGAATCAGCGATTATTAAAATAGATTATTAGACTAGAATAGATTATTCTCATACTACTACATAGAGCCGTGGTAGCTCAGATGGTTAGCGTTCGCTGTAAATTTATCAATACGCGAGCAAACCGGGTTCGATCCCCGCCGGCACCAATGAAATTGTTAATTGCAATTTTAAGTGCTGATTTACCACGTGCTCGGCGGTGAAGGAAAACATCGTGAGGAAACCTGCATGTCTGAGAAATAAGAAAAAAAAATATTTCGAAGACATGTGAAGTTCGCCAACACGCATTGGGGCAGCGCGGCGGGCTATTCCTTGCCCTACAACCTTCTCAGAAATGAGAGGAGGCCTGTGCCCAGCAGAGGGATGAATATAGGCTGTAACTTTACTTTACTTTACTTTTACTACCTAGACTATAATTCTTAATATCTACAAAAATACTGGTCAAAATGTATGTTTGTGTAACACTCTTTCTGTATGGGATTCAAACCAGCGATTATTTGATTAATGTAATTATAACACAGTCAGAAGAGCGTCATCATTAATATTCGAATTTAGATTCTTTACCATTCATTCCCTCCAAGAATGAATATGAGAGACATTATCCAGAGTAATTGGTTAAATACTTTATATCTTTCAACGTTAAATGAGTGTGAAATATTATAATTTGTCTATTTTAATATGCCCTGGTTAGGCATAAATTCCGCCCGCTGTAAACCGTCTAAGGTAAATACAATGCCTTACAATAAATAAAATATTTGTAAAGTAAAAAAGTAAAGTTACAGCCTATATACGTCCCACTGCTGGGCTCAGGCCTCCCCTCATTTCTGAGAGGGTTTAGGGCAAGGAAGTGTCCGCCGCGCTGCCCAAATGCGTGTTGACGAACTTCACATGTCTTCGAAATATTTTTTTTCTTATTCCTCAGTCATGCAGGTTTCCTCACGATGTTTTCCTTCACCGCCGAGCACGTGGTAAATCAGCACTTAAAATTGCAATTAACAATTTAATTGGTGCCGGCGGGGATGGAACCCGGGTTACTCGCGTTCTGTTATATTTACAGTGAGCGTTAACCACTGAGCTACCACGGCTCTCAATAAAATGTTTGATTCATTTGTATTTCAGAACAACTCTGCATACAAACAAATAATTTTTCAAAACCGTGTGAGGAAAAGATTAAATCAAATTCTACTGATTGTAACATAAATAATGTTCGTAAAGGAAACCTCGATTTAAAAAGCCCTACTATTAAATCAAAACGTAAACTGAAAAGAGATACTCAACTAGTTGTTAAAAGAAGGAAGCATCCCGAAAAAAATTATGAAAAAAGAAAATTTTGAAACAGAGAATACTTACGAAAAACACATCTGAGGCATCAACAAAATACATTTTCGAATGTGATGATTGTAGGAAAAAGTTTTTAACAAAAGATATTCTCGCCGACCACATATCATACAGTCATAAGACGCAAAAGAACTCAGTTGCAGTTCAGACACAAGTTGAACAAACTCCAGTACCACAACTAATGGATATATATAACTGTGATATTTGCGAATTTAAAACATCTCATAAACGTTACATTTTAGCACATCTTAAAGCGCACGTTGCTAAGCAAGTGTACTGTTGTAATAATTGTGAATATAAATGTATTACAAAAGGTAATTTGCAACAACATATGAAAATACATACCGGAGAAAAACCTTTTTCGTGTCATGTCTGTGAATATAGATGTATTAGAAAAGTTGATATGCAAAAACATATTAAAATACATACTGATCAAAAACCTTTTTTGTGTAATATCTGTGAATTTAGATGTATTACAAAGAGTCGTTTGCAAACACATATGAAAATACATACCGGAGAAAAACCTTTTTTCGTGTCATGTCTGTGAATATAGATGTATTACAAAAAGTAATTTGCAAAGACATATGAAAATACATACCGGAGAAAAACCTTTTTCGTGTCATGTCTGTGAATATAGATGTATTACAAAAGGTGATTTGCAAAAACATATTAAAATACATACCGGTGAAAAACCTTTTTCGTGTCATGTCTGTGAATATAGATGTATTACAAAAGTTGATATGCAAAAACATATTAAAATACATACTGATGAAAAACCTTTTTTGTGTAATATCTGTGAATTTAGATGTATTACAAAGAGTCGTTTGCAAACACATATGAAAATACATACCGGAGAAAAACCTTTTTCGTGTCATGTCTGTGAATATAGATGTATTACAAAAAGTAATTTGCAAACACATATGAAAATACATACCGGAGAAAAACCTTTTTCGTGTCATGTCTGTGAATATAGATGTATTGCAAAAGGTAATTTGCAAACACATATGAAAATACATACCGGAGAAAAACCTTTTTCGTGTCATGTCTGTAAATATAGATGTATTAGAAAAGATGATATGCAAAAACATATTAAAATACATACCGGTGAAAAACCTTTTTCGTGTCATGTCTGTGAATATAGATGTATTACAAAAGTTGATATGCAAAAACATATTAAAATACATACTGATGAAAAACCTTTTTTGTGTAATATCTGTGAATTTAGATGTATTACAAAGAGTCGTTTGCAAACACATATGAAAATACATACCGGAGAAAAACCTTTTTCGTGTCATGTCTGTGAATATAGATGTATTACAAAAGGTAATTTGCAAACACATATGAAAATACATCCCGGAGAAAAACCTTTTTCGTGTCATGTCTGTGAATATAGATGTATTACAAAAGGTAATTTGCAAACACATATGAAAATACATACCGGAGAAAAACCCTTTTCGTGTAATATCTGTGAATTTAGATGTATTAAAAAAAGTAATATCCAAACTCATATGAAAATGCATACCGGAGAAAATCCTTTTTTATGTCATGTCTGTGAATTTAGATGTATTACAAAAGGTGATTTGCAAACACATATTAAAATACATACCGGAGAAAAACCTTTTTCGTGTAATATCTGTGAATTTAGATGTATTACAAAAAATTATCTGCAAAAACATATGAAAATACATACTTCAGCAAAATCTTCTTCGTGAGGTATCTGGTAAAATATGTAAAATGGCTGTGAATACCCACTCCGCTGGGTTAGTTTTTGTAGAGTAGTATTCATGCGTATATATTTTATTAAATTATTTTGATTTTAAAATTAAGAATACATGATTATTCTTGTTAAACTTTTAAGTCTTTTTTTCTTACTTACATATACTTTTTTAATCATTATACAAAAATACTTTACAGATAGTCAAGTACTGAGGGCCTATATTACAATACATTCTTATGCACTTTATTTAATGTCTAGTGTTCTGGTGAATCTGGTGGGTTACCATGTGAAAAACGGGATTCTCCCAAATTCATTCCACAATATTGGAATGTTTGACCTTGTGCCTTATTCATAGTTATACTATAAGCCACTCATAGAGGAAACTGTAACCGTTTAAAACAGAATGATAAATCATATGAAATTAATAGAATTCGTGGTATAAAAATGGATTTTCCTTTTTCTTTGCCAGTTAGAATTACTGCCTCAATAATGTCGTTGAGAAGTTGTTTTATACATAATCTTGTACAGTTACATAATTCTGGCGAATTGAGATTTCATAATAATATAACTGGTGATCCAATTTTTAGCTTTAATACACGCAAAGGCAAATACATGAAAAAGTCGACCTCTTTAACAGCAACATATTAGGACTGAATAATAAACATGCTCCTAAACGTGTTGTTCGATTGAAGCGTCCTCCTGTTCCATGGATCACGATTGGGTAAGAATGGCTATGGCTAAACGCGATTGTAATTGCTCGTATAAGGGAGCGTCGATAAAATAGAGCGGGTTTGCTGGCGGGATGTTAACTGGAGAGCATACAGTAGCAGTTAGATGAGCAATAAATAACACTTCTTGAGAGTTTCTTCTTATTTTATTTCTTGATTCCTTATTATTACATTGCCGGATTTGGAATATTTTACCACGAAAAAACGCCCCTTTTTTATAAGCGGCTGTAACCAATCATAATTAAGAAAAAATCGCACACGGCATTAGTGAATCTATTGACCAATCAGAGCACAGAATAACCCTTTCTAAGAGAGATTTACAGTTTTCTTAATAAACGTGGTAAAACATACCTTACAACATTTATATTTATTCCTAACGATAGATACAACTTATTTCTATTATTCTAAACCTAAATTATTCAATAAACCTTTATTTTACACTTATAAAAAATAAAAATAGCTTCGCGGTCGCTTCACGGTTTAGCTCCGGAGTAGATAGTATTTTTTGCCGAACATACAAGTAGCGCCGCCAAGAGGTAGGAATGTACAACACTTTTTCAGGATTAATGCTTAAGAATCTATACAATATTTTTTCATAAAATTTAAATCTTTCTCATAATGAAATGACATTATATAGTGATTAATTGACATATTAATGTTTCTTTTGAATTACTTTAAAGGAAGAAAAATTATATTAATCACCTATATGTTAATAGCTCTTAGAGTTATGATAAAAGAAATCTTACTAGAAAAATAAGCTTATACTTGCGTCTAATGTTCTAATCTACTTTCCTGTTTTCAGCACTAATCAGTATTTACCCTTAACTTTATTTTACAAATAGGAAACAATTAAGATTAAATACTATCACTTAGTTTTAAATCACTGATAAGGAGTAATTAAAATTAAATGTTCGAATTCACTTTGTCGTCGCTAACAGCGATAGAACTTTCCGTGCTTACAAGAAGAATCGCACTGATGTAAAGTGGTAAGCATATAAAGCTGCAAGAAATCGATGCAATCAAGTGGTGCGAGCTGCTAAACGCCGATATATTCACGAACAACTACCCAATACGTCTTCGGCTGATATATGGCAGTTTCTGAATACGCGTGGATATGGAAAATTGCAGTTTGACTATAATAGCATCACCTTTTCTCCTGACTATTTTAATCGTCATTTTCTGACTTCTCAAATAGTTTCTGATAATTCTTGAGCTAATGCTATCTGTTTTATATCTTCCATGCCTCCTTATTCTCATGAAACTTTCACTTTTACTCTTGTAGATTTTTATAATCCGCATATGTTTTTATTAGATTGTAAGTAATATATAGATAAATAACACCAAGGTGTTATTTGAAATTTTTTTTTTTAAATATTTAAAAATGATCTTCGTAAAAAACTTTGAAATTATAGAAAGTAAGTTTATTATTTTATTTATTATTAAGGCATTACTTGGGGGAGGCCTATGTTCGGCAGCGGACTTGTGAAGAAGGGCTGTGATGATGATGATTATGATGATGAAGTTTATTTTTTTTACATATTTATTTTTATAATTATGCAGGATAAAATTTAAAACATGTAATAAATCGAAATGACAGGTTTAGCTAACTTATTTTAAAAATCAGACTTGTAAAAAGAAAAGTCATGTCAGTTTGTCGTCTTAGATGGTGTTAACTAAGTTTTTGTTCTTATCATAAGGCTTCAATCACTAAAAAGCTACTTTAAAAAGGTGTTGATTTTCAAGAGTTATTAAATGAACTATCTGGAAAATATTTAATGAATTAGGAAAATAAAATAGTTTTACAAAATATAATAGTTGAACAAAGTGAAACTCTAAACAGACAGCTGCTTAAAAAAACCGTGACATCTATCTAGGGCTAAGTATTACACAGAAAGATATTTTGCTTTAACTTACATCACTATTCACCGTTTGTTTTGAAATTTGTCTGCCTTCATCACATGCTATAACGAAGTGGTATAGTACAATTGATGGCCGACTTGGCTACACAAAAAAAGCGTTAACTGTTTTAAAACTTCTAGAGAGTAACGCTGACAAGAAATTGTGTTGTATATTAGTGATAGATGAAATGAAAATAAAACGATCGATGGAGTACCATGCAAGTTTTAAAAGACATTTTGGTTATGATAATTATGGATTTGACTTCATTTCTGACAATTCGGAGAACGCTACTGATGCTGTAGCATTTTTATTAATGGGCATTAATACTTCTTGTAAAGTACCTACTGGGTACTTCTTAGTAAAGGGTACTAGTGCTGACCTAAAAGCATCCCAACTCTTCCGCCATGGCAAGGTTGGTTTTTGAACCATCACATGTCAACGCCTTTATTTCGATGCCAGTTTCGTGAACAAGATAGAAAGCTTGTATTAATAGCCGTGCTTTTAATACAGCGCTTGTACTCTTAATCAAAAAGTTGGCTATGAATAATTTCCATGTTGTGTTTATACCGACCAATAAAAACACTAATGCGTCAGTACTTTCATCGGAATTATCCGATATAAAATCGAGCTCGTAATCGACATAGCCATTATGCCTCTGGCTGCTAGCATGGTATTCTGTTAATTGCTTAATTTTCATTTCATCCATGACCAAGGTACAATACATTTTTTTTATCAGATCGATCGATGGTACTGTTGTACCATTCAGTCAATGTCCGTGATACAGGCAAACATGTTCCAAAAGTTTTACGTACGTGATAGGCTTTTGGTGAGTAATAAGTAAGTGTTAGGGCAAAACATCTTAACTCTGGGGAATATTTAGTTCTGGGCAATTTTCCAATCTTACTTTTAAGTATTTAAAAGCGTCAGTAGCCTAATAGCAGGGCGCGGACCGCGAACTCAAATAGGTCGTGGGTTCGAATCCGCCATTCGACTACTGGCGTGAACCACTCCTAATAAAAGCAATTTAAGCTTTTTACGAATGGTTAAGGGGAATATTAGTAATGTTTATAGCATTGTTAATATTCTTTAAAAAAAAGTATTGGTCTCTTTAAGAGTTCACTTTCTTCAATTCATATCTTTTCTAGAACCTGTTTGTTTTCTTTGTTTATCGAAGATGTCTCTGTCAGCGAATCTAGTATTTCTTGCAAACTTGTAACTTTTTTTTAAAATACCGTTTTGCGATTGAAGCCTTTTTATGCTATTGTTTTTATGTCAAGTCATTTTTTCATTTTAATTTTCCTTGGCGTATTTTCTAATTGTAGGCTCGTACTTGCAGCGGGAGTAGTACTAGTTGGGGCTATATAAGGAATTTTCTTCAAATTGTGACTTTCGAGACAACTAATGGAATTTTCCGGAACATCCAGCTTTCTTTTTTTCGATGTACACGATGTTTTACAATCACTACGATCAGCCAAAAGTAAATAATTTACCTATGTAAATGTATGTGTATTTATATATTATATGAATTGAATTTGATAGATTAATGCATTTGTAAGTTTATCGAAATTCTAAAATATTTTCAAGTAGAATAATATTGGTGTCAAAGGTAATAATAAAAATGTTTAATCTAAATTTAATTACAGCCAAACATTACCACCCACAGGTTCAAGGTTGGTACTGTAGTGTCGGTTGATTTAATACACAAAGGTAAGGACCCAATATTTTGTAGTCTTTTTAACAGCACGAGTAGTATTTACAATATCAAAAGATACAACAAAGTACAGATTACTAACGTAACTTATTTTTTATTTCTTTAATCCATTAAGAAGAGGAAAGAAACAAAGGACACAGCAGTTTTGCGAGTTTTTGAATAGGACAACTGTCATTATCTACTAGTTTGAGTACATTCAACTAATTATAAATAATTGGAGCAGACCTCCCATGACACAAGAAAACGATTCTTTGAAATCTATCTCCTCCGTAACCCGTAGGCCAATTTACACAATTTTTACGGCAATATTTGTAGCTCAACGCAGACAAGGATTGTAAACAATAAAAATATGAATATGATTTTTTTTACTATCTAACTAATTCGCTAATTTACATCTGCGCAATGTCACACCATTTGATTGAATCTTTTATAGTTATGTCTTTAGACTTTTACTCCGCTCCGTTTATGATGCTAGCAAATGGCTCTGCATCAGCCCTATTTTTATAGTTCTTAGAAAATAGAATAAGATTTTATCTCGAATTTTTAGGGTTATATATCGATTTACTGCATCGATTCAGTACTATATATCAATTTTTGGCACAAGAAATTGATTCTTAGATTATTCGATGTGAAATCGCCATGCCTGCTGCTGTCCCGTACTTTTAAATGTACAACTAACAATGTCGAAGACTTCTTTCGATATTTGAAACATGGTCGGATTAAAATATGTCGTTTATATAAAATAAGTAATAAAATAAATGAGTGCAAGTAATACTATACGGGGTAGAGCCGTGCTGCAGTTATATTAGAAGTATAGTTGTAGCACGAATGGATCGGCTCGACCGGGGAAGGACCACGCTCTCACAGAATACCAGCGTGAAATAGTAGCTTAATGCTGCTGTATTTCGTACGGTGAGTGTAGAGAACCGGAGACCCTTTTTACAGGAAACGAGGCATTCCATCTTAGTCCTCACGGGTGACAACGCATCTGCATTTTGATTCGTAATCGAGGATAGATGTGGATGTCTATGGGCCACAGCAACCACTTACGATCAAGTGGACTGTGTGCTCGTTTGTCACCCTATCCTATAAAAAAAATACTAATTTGAATAAAAAAAGAACCATCAAAACCGGTAGTAGGTAGTTTCGTGCGTTTCCCATCCGTATGGTTCACTTTTCATAATATATGACTTTTATATAGAAATGGCAGCCACGTGGCAGCGGCAGTAAATTATTATCAAATATTAAATTTAGTGGTTTTAACACATGTTTTGTTTACTTAACGGAGAAATGATACTACAACATATTTTTTCTTCGCAGTTGAAGAGTTTTTGCATGTTTTAAGACCATCTAAACACATTGTCTCGCTGAGCGTAGGAGAGTTATCTATATGGATCTGCAAAAAGTATCGATACCAGAGTAGTATCGATACCTTTATTTCGATACCTAGTATTTTTGTACTCGATACTTTTATTAGAGTATTTTACTAAGTATCGATACTTTCTTAGTTAATCGATATTTTTGTCTCTTCACTAAACTGTGATATAAAAGTCAGTAATATACTTCCTTCATCAGTCCTTTTCCGATGTATAGTGTCGTCTCGAATCTCGATGGAGTGAGGATTTTGGGGAAAACTTTATTATAGTTTACATAATGCATGTGAGGGCGAGTAAATACATTTTATAAAATTAATAGCAATATCTCGTAATTTTGATGAATGAATAATTTATAAAATGGAATCATAATGCAAAATATTTGGAATTAAATTTCTTTTTATATGATAGTATGACAACCGAGCACACAGTCCACCTGATAGTAAGTGGTTGCTGTGGCCCATAGACATCTACATCTATCCTCGATTATGAATCAAAATGCAGATGCGTTGCCATCGGACTGCCTCGTTTCCTGTAAAAAGGGTCTTCAGTTCTTTACACTCACCATACGAAACACGGCAGCATTAAGCTACTATTTGACGCTGGTATTCTGTTAAAGCGTGGTCCTTCCCCGGTCGAGCGATCCATTCGTACTACAACTATACTACTAATATAACTGCAACATGGCTCTACCACGTAATCTATAATAATGTGTAAATAATCATAATGTGTTTCATTTGTCTATTGATGTTGTTTAACCCTTAATAAGGCATCACAAATAGGATAGTTATAGAAGTGAGCAAACTTTCGTATGTTGTTTTTTGAGACAAAAAATAGTCAGTCAAGATTCGCTTTCCACGCTACTTGACGCACTCCGAGTTATCGTTAAATTCGTTCAGTTATATTTTCTTATTTTCGTTGATATTCATTGTTGTTTTTGTTGAGTTTGATTGTTATTTGTTTGCGTTACGTTTGATTGTTATTTATTTTCGTTAAGTTTTTGTTACGAACGTTGACATTTGTGATTGATTGAACAATGGCAATGACGTGACTTTATGTATATATGTGAGGTGGTATTTTTGTAATTTGATTCTGATATGTAACAATTAATAAAGACAAATTTTAAAATCCAGTGTCATATGTAACCTTGCTCCTTATTTATATGTTTTTTGACATTATTTCTACTATTATTAATCAATAATATTGAAAAAGAATAATTTATAACAAAAAAGTCAATAAATAAATAAAAATCGATGTTTGAGAACTTGTTTTGCCAACCGTACCATGTGTACCCGCCGCCATTTTCAGATCCATTCTCTATCTGCGCGGCCTATAGTTCCTTAAGTCGATAATTTGTTTTTTTTATTTCTGGGTTTTTTTGGAAATTTATGTGGGAGCTATTATACCTTTGCCCAAGTAAAGTGACATTATTTTAATGTGATTGAAATTTTGAAATATTTTTAAGTGTCTTATTTTCTTCTATAGTCACATTATTGTAAAAATAAATAAATAATTTACTGACAAAAATATTTAATTATTTATTATTGTATGGAACGACTCCCAACATGGCACAAAGCAGAGTGGCAGCAGACATATCTTGCATTCGAAGTATGTTCTAACTCCTTTTTCTCTCGCACTGCAAAAACGGCATCTCTTATATGAGCCCTTTTCACCGTGATGCTGACCAGGGCTTGAGCGCCGAATCTCATCGGATATTCCAAAGACACCACCCTTTTTCTTTATGAAATTGCCTGGCGTATGTTTTCTTTGTGAATAAGTAAATTTTTCAATATGTAAAATGTTGCAATGTGTATTATGAAGTAAATTTAGACATTATTTCAGGTAGAAAATTTTAGGGCAGAACATGTCTTTCAGTTTGCCATTTTTTTGACTTCTCTGGATGACAGAAACTTCAGATGGATTTACTGCAGTTGACAAAATATGGACATCTTTTGTACCGTGCCATTTTATACATCCGACTGGAGAGTCATAGCGAAAAGTAAACTTACCGAGAGGAAGCTTGGGTTGGCTAAAGTCATCCGGTACTTGATTTTGATGTTTTTAGTCTAGGAGCTTGTTAGGGTCGAACTTGAACCTATTACACTGTTTTTAGTTGGAGGAAATGCGTTTTGAATTAATTACGATAAAAACAAATTTCACTAAAACTTGTGTAATACGAAACGCAAATATGTCAATTTGTTCTCGTATTATGAAGTAGATGTCTGGTACTTGATTTTTAATTTTGTTTTCAATTTATGAGGATTGTCAGGGTTAAGCTCGAATCATTTACACTGTTCTTGGATTTCAGAAATGCCTTTTGAATTAATTACGATAAAAATAAATTTCACTAAAAATTACAATAACGAAACGCAAATATGTCAATTTGATTTTTTAACACAGATAAACTCATAAAAAAGTTTATCAATCGGACCCAAACAATCCATTTGGCTGGAGACGGGACTTATACACAACAAATTGAAATTCGCAGTGGGGTGCAGTCAAGGGGTTTTTCAGAAAACAAAATTATAACAATTCACATTACATTATTTCATTTACCACTATCATAGCAGAGTTTAGGGCAACCAGACTTTATAGATAAGATTGGACAAATCTGTTCTAAAACTGATTTAGCACACCCCAACTCCACGTAGTCTTGTCTGCCCTACCCCTAGAGTGTTTTTGTAAAGCAGTAGGCACGGAGGGAGAGCAGCCCCTGCCCGCTGTAGCAAATCGCAGGCACCTAAGTGAGCCGTAGCGGCTGAGGCTGGTCGCCGAAGGCAACCAATAAGCCGAAGCTGCGGAGGCGAGCATGGGTGCCTGTGATTTGCTACGCAAGGGCGAAGGGGCTGCCCTTCCCCCCAGTGCCGAAGCAGTTGCAGAAGTAACTTTGCGTCAATATTCCTGTATACAAAAGTGAGGTTACGATTTACAAAAAAAATATATAATTCATAAACTATACATTTCCGCAACAGGGGAAGGGTAGGGGGGTGCTTCTCACGACCCCGCCCCCCCCCCCCCTTCCCAACACCGTACGGTCGCTGCAGAAGTAACTTTTTGTAAATATTCCTGTAAAAAAGTGAGGTTATAAATTTACAAAAAAAATTATTACTCATAAACTATACATTTCCGCAACGGGGTTAGGATAGGGGGGGCTTCCCATGTCCCCCTCCCCTCCCCCTCTCCCCCTCCCAACACCGTACGCGAGTACCGGACGTCTATAGTTTAACCGCAAGCTTCATCAGTTCTTTTTTCTTCATTTTCATTTCTTCACTGTACCCAGATTTTTATGAAGTGGATTCTTCTGGCATTCCTTTCCTTGTCGCACTGTGCCAACACTGTAAATATTTCTTTCATATAAAATCTCTATTAGGGGAATGCTAGTGAAGAAGTTATCAAACACAACTAAAGAGCCAGCAGGTAACATTTTTAGTTAGTTTCAAATCAACTTTGTATCCCAGACCTTCTTCACTTGGAGCCTTTTCTTGACATTCTAAAGCCTTGACAAAAACAACATTTATTATGAATACCACTGACAAAACGGAATCTACGACCGGACCATGGCCGTATATCTCCCACATATTTCCAAGAGTCAAAGACAGTTGACTGTAACATTATTCGTTAAAATTTGTATGCTCTTATAAAGTCACATTTCCAATTAATAATATATTAAAAAATACCCGACTCACCTGTTCTTATTTTCTAAATAAAAAAGTTTTTATTGCACAGCACTGAAAAACTAACGACAAAGACCCATAGAGATAATAAAACTTATATAAATCTGTCGGTCACATTTATTCGCCAGTCACGCCAGATAAGTTATTTGACGATTGAAAATTCAGCCCTGTTTCTATGTACATACCTACGGAATAAAGTAAATTAAGCAACAAATCCAATTATATAAAATGAGAAAAAATTCATATTAGTTAAAGTATTGATATCATATTGCATAGTTACAACCCTATAAGGCGGCCATTTTACGCGCCAGATTTTTATAGGTAGTCACGCTAATTTTGTAGGTATGCCCAGTCCATATACTTCTAAGTCAGTGCAAAGACCGTTACCAAGAAATTATTGTTTAAGTGTCAGTTTGACATAAGACTTTTGACACTTTTCTTTTTTTTCTTTGTTCAAAAATCTATGACAAATTGTGGAGAAATAGTAGCCACGGTTTGTTTAGGAAAAACATAAGTTATGTGGGAGCTATGCTCCAACGGCTTTATTAAGGGTTAAGTAAAGTCTACCTATCAGTCATAAATACTTAGAGTAGAAGACTATTTTAAATATGAATCAGTATTTGTTATTATTTAATGGCAATATTGACTGATTCGTGTTAAGTACGTCGTCGAAACGAAAAATTTTATAAAAGTGAATTTTATTGACTTTAATTGCTGACTCAGGTGCTCTGCTTGTTTTGGTTCTTCAGAATGCCACCTCCTGGCGGAAGACAAAGTGATGTGTGAAATATTTTAGGAAAATTGATCAAAATTCTATTAGCGGTAATACTTCTAACTTTAAAAAAAGCATTTAAAAATACATACTCAGAGGTAAGTAAAATTAAATAACTGACAAGATTATTATCGACTGGGTGTGTTCTTACGAATAAAAAATAAATACCCTGTGGAAAAGGCCTGATAGATCCAAATAAAATACGATATTCTATTGGAAGTTATGATAAACCATTGTGTTTTTGAAACAGCAATTCCGGATACTTACAGGTTGAAGAAATAAATGGATTCATTGGATGTTATCTGGTACAGGTACGACAAATCAGATTGTATCAGTATTCCCAATTAATTATGATCCAGAATTGCGGTACTAGAAGTTAGCAATAGAATGAAAGGGGTTGTATCAGTAAATCACACATGTTTTGAACAACAGATTCGGCAGATAAAATATTCTAAATAGTCATATTTTAGCCATATCCATAATTTTAGACCTACGTTTTAAAAACTTATACCTTACGGACTCAAATTCATGTGCATGAGCAATTTCTTTCATAAAAAGAACTGTAACTGATGACTCGCCACCACCACCGTTTTTTGAAACCATCACCGTAAATTAGCTTAAACCTGACAAATCAGGTACATGAACTTGGACAGAGACGAAAAAGCTCAGTATGTGCCTTATAAAAGGATACGTTTGAGCAATGGGCGCAAATGAAATCGGTTTTCTCGAAATTATACTCCGTTGCTAGTAAATATCTCATAAAACCCGCAACTTTAGTGCCGTCAGAAAGATTACTATCCAAATCAGCGGTAACGGTAACAGCGGCCAAGGGTAGATAAACTACTTTTCACAACAGATTGCGACATGATTGGGGGTTCAATAATTAGTTGTTAGTTATACATTTTGTAATTTAATTTTTTAATATTTTTAAAATAATTCTTGATACCAAGTAGTATCGACGGCGCAAAAATGTTGTACGTGTTGGAAACGTATACAAAACTAATGCAGGTTATTAGGAATAGCAAGGTGCGTAACTTTTTTATAGTTAGATTATATATTTAAGTAGACAATATAGTTTTAAAAATTTCTAGCAAACCAAAAAAAAAATTTTCAATTATTGTAAAATGTAGATTTAAATTTAATAAATGCTTTCTGGGTCATGTCTTTGCTGTATGGGTATTTATGATTAGGCCAAGTTTCTTTAACATATATGTCGGCATTAATAACCATATTTTTTTAATTCACAGTAAAACTAGTCACAAAAATTAATAATTATATTAAAAATAATATACATACTTTACTAACATGCATCTGTAATAAATAAAAAAGTTTTATTATAACACTAGCTGTTTTTAAATAACTTTAAGATAAATTTAAAGTACACTCTGAACCAAGAAGTCCTAATTAAAACTACTACACAACGTTAATATAATACATCCTATTCCTATACATACCTTGGGACGTTTCTTTTTCGGAGAAGTAAAATCTTTTTATATATCTCTCAACGTACTTGTTTGTGGATCCATCATTAACTACTCTTAATGAAAAAAATTATAAACGAAACAAAATAAGAATAGTATAATAAACAACGAATACTAAAATGGCTTCCCGAATGTTGACGAACCCGTCTTGACCTTGACATGTTTTTGCGGGGGAAAACGAGACGATACGACAAATACACAAGATGGAAAGCGATAGATAATAGTTTGTCAACTCCACAGTCGTTTTTAAGGTAAGTGACCTCTCGGATCGCTGCTAGTTGACCGTACTATATGTAATTTAGTACAATGGATCAGAAGAGCTAAAACCCAGGGCCATAATGCCAGTTAAATAAAAAAAGGTTACATTTTATTAACTATTAATTTGGAATTTTTGAACGTCATCGGAAGGGAGAGTGTGAGGTGTATAAGTGTCGTTGTGTTTTTGGCTATTTCTTATTCTGAGAGCTGTTGATTTACCTTTTTTTGTTTATTATTTCTGTTGGTGTTGGTTTTAGTAGTTATAAATCCGTAAGTGTTTAGTAATTGTGCTGTTTTATATGTAATTAGTTAAAATAAAATGGAGGAAGATCCTCCCGGTCCCGACGGGGTTCCATGTGACTCCCATACTGGTACGAAAATAAATAATAATATTCCTATCGAAATTGATCAGTCGAAGCGTAAAAGATTGCAAGCAACCAATAACTCAGGTCATCCTCAGAAAAGATAAATTACAGATCCATCTCAACCTGTTCCATCTATTCAGACCTCTTATACCCACCCTGACTACATAGAAAAAAAAACATAAATATTCTAATAACGACAATGCGCCGTTTATTGTACATGTAAGTAAGAGAGTAGATGATTTATCAACTGGAGTAGTTTTAAAACCGATAAAGTTTGGTCATTTTCTCTACCATAATAATATTAAAAATGTTGTAAGTGATGGTGTTAAGCGAGTAGAACGCAATAGAATTTCAGTCGAGTTTAAAAGTGCAGCTGATGCAAATTGTTTTATTGAGAACCCAGCCCTTGCAGGTGCTAAATATGATACTGTAATCCCTTCTTATAATGTCACACGCATGGGAATAGTGAGGCAGGTCCCTGTAGAATGGACATTAGAGAAACTCATCTCATAAATCGAGGTCCCAGATGGTTTTGGCTCAATTATTAAAGCTCGCCGATTTAATAGAAAGTCAGTTAATGAAAACCAAAGCACTGTGTGGATTCCCTCTCAAACAGTTGTTTTGACTTTTTCCGGTCAGAAACTTCCTTCTAACATTTATTGTTTTTTTACCTCAATGCCTGTTGAGCCCTACATTTTACCTCTTATTCAATGTCACAAATGTTGTCGTTTTGGGCATGTAACCTCACAGTGTAGGTCATCTTCCCGTTGTTTTGTGTGTGCTCAAAATCATGAAGGAATATCATGCACAAGACAGTCTCCCACGTGCTTATTTTGTTCAGGATCTCACACAGCTAAAGATCCTTCCTGCCCTGAACACTCTAGGCAGAGATCTATCAAACTTACCATGTCACAGGAAAATATTTCCTATCTAGAAGCATCTGCCCGTTTCCCTTATGTCCGGAGATCTTATGCAGATGCTGCTAGAATCCTTCCTTCGTATGATCATCAGAGTCCCTATCCTATTTCAAATTCCCCTTTACCTTCAGTTGTCCCCTCACAATCTCATTCTTACAGGAAGACTACATTTACTCCAAGACTTCCGCCAAATCCAGCATCAAGTCATGGATATGATAAATCTGCCCACGAGGCAATAATAGATACCCCTTCTTCTTCAACTACTAATGGTTGGGCTTTAATAGGGCAGAGTATTTCCCCTAATGACAATCTCTGTGAGTTAATGATTTCCATGCTTATAAGTATGTTTTCCCGTTTCAGTGATATGGATCTCCCACTTGCCCTCCGCCAAAAACTTACTGAGCTCATCTCATTAACAAATAACCTTCCCTCCAATACTTCAGTGGAACTGCCGGAGCATTAATAATAAAAAAAATGAATTAATTTACCTTATTAATAAATACCATCCCCTCATCCTAGCCATTCAAGAGACATGGCTTAAGCCTGGGTCCCATTTTAGGATTTCAGGTTATTCATGCCTCAGGAATGATAGGAATGATGGTCATGCTGGCTCTTTCATTCTTATCTCAAAATCAATTACTTATACATTAATTTCCCTCCCTTCTCATAGTCCTTCAATTAATGTTGTAGCAGTTAGAGCTCATAACACTTCTTTTCTTTCTATTTACATTCCCGAACCTAGTTTAAATGTTTTATCAGAACTTACGAGGATCATATCCTCCATCCCGCCTCCTATGGTAATTCTTGGTGATTTTAATATGCACCATACTTTATGGGGCTCCCATTTTTGTGATCCCTGGTCTTCTACATTTTTAGACATCATTGATGATTTAGATCTCTGCCTCCTTAACGATGGTTCACCTACACGTAGAGTATCCCCCCTCCAAAATCTTAAAAGTGCAGTAGATCTGTCACTCTGTTCTCCTGCTCTGTCGTACCTTCTTTCTTGGAGAATATTACCCTTTTCCCATGGCAGTGATCATTTCCCTATTGTTATCAATCCCCTTAGCTCCTATACAGTCAATGTTCCATTCAATCCTAGGTTAAAATATAACACATCCAAAGCAAACTGGCAACTATATTCCACAGTTCTAGAGGAAGAACTTTCAGCCCTCCCTCCTGTTCAGAAAGATAATGTTCTCCAGGTGTATGCTTCTTTTAAAAACGCTATTTTATCTGCTGCCAATAAGACAATTCCAATCAAAAAACGTTATAAAAATAATGCCCCTTCACCACCTTGGTGGGATCAAGATTGTTCTGTAGCATGTAAGAAGAGAAAGGAAGCTGAAGTAAGATATTCCCACTCTATGAACTTTGACAACTATATTTTTTATAAAAAAACTGCTGCTGAAACATTAAAATTATTATCCGGGAAGAAAAACTTAAATTCTGTGAGTCACTGTTGCCCAGGACTCATCCATCATTAGTCTGGAAAAATATAAAAAAATTCCGATGTTCAGTTTTGACCTCTGAAAACACAATTTCTAATGATCAGTTTTATTGGCTAGAAAATTTTGCTAGTAATCTTGCTCCTCCTTCAGTACCATCTTACAATGAATGTATAGCATTTCAATCACAGTCCTTGCACTATCAACACAGTTTTGACTCCCCTTTCTCTTATGAGGAGTTATATGCTGTTCTTAGTGTCCTTAAAGACTCTTCACCAGGAATTGATGGAATTCCTTATTCTTTTATTACTAATAGCAGTGAACCTATTAAAGTCCATCTTCTTTCTATTTTGAATTGTATTTACATGTCTGGTATTCCTCCAGAAGAATGGAAATCCCAAGTTATTTTACCTATTTACAAACCAGGTAAGCCTTACACTGATCCCTCAAGCTACCGCCCTATCGCTCTTTCTTGTACCATGGCCAAAATCCTTGAACACCTAATAAAAAATCGTTTAGTATGGTTTCTTGAAAGCAAACGCCTTCTAGCAACAAGCCAATTTGGATTCCGAAAGGGCTTAAGCACCATGGATAGCCTTAGTACTCTAGTTACTGATATTCGTTTAGCTTACTCTAAACATGAATACCTTGTTGGAGTCTTCCTAGATATCGCGTCTGCATATGACAATGTACTTCTTCCTGTGCTCAGGCAAAAAATGCTCAATCTGAGTATTCCAGTGAGGATAGTAAATTTTGTCTCTAACTTTCTCTCTTCTAGATCCATTTATATTGATAGTCAACATTCTCTACTCTCACCAAGAATAGTATGGAAGGGTCTCCCACAAGGCTCAGTACTTAGTCCTTTGCTCTATTCTATCTATACTTATAATCTAGAGCTTTCTGTTAACTCATTCTGTAACATCCTCCAATATGCAGACGCTATATATAGCTATATATATTTCCTTGGATAACCTCCCTGCAGCTTGTTCCCGCTTGAATTTATCAATGTCCTATTTACAAGATTGGTTAACTGATCATGGTTTGTCTTTGGCTGTTCCCAAAAGCAGTGTTGTGATCTTCTCTCGCCATAGGCAACTCCCTGAAATCAACATTCTCTATAATAATGAACCTATC